AGGAGAGGGGCTGGATTTGGGAGGTGGAAGAGGGAGGGGGAGTTCCTGGAGTTTGCCGGTAGTTGGTGTTAGCGGCGATACCTCGGGGTGACAGATAATAAAGAAAAAAAAAAAAGAAAATATTGGCAGTAAAAGGTGGCACCCCCGAGTCCTTCCAAAAACGTGTGGAGGGAACACGGTGCTGAAGTGGCGTGGCTGTATCCAGGGCTATGCATGTCTGCCCGTCCCAGCAAAGGCAGTCTGCGCCATTCATCGCACAGCGATGCAATTCGGTGAAAGGTAACTACGCAGGGCTGCAGGGCAAAAATAGCATCGCGTTAAAAGTCACTTAAAGTCACTTTATCCAGCTATGGGGTTAGCTCTTGGGTACCGAGGATTGTGAGAATGGGTAACTGACACAGATGCATATATACAAGAAAGAGAGAAGAGTCTGTATGATGACCCCAAAAAAGGTACTGAATAGTACCCCTAGTACTCAGGTCCATCATCTACTGAGATCCCGTTATCCTGCAGGGAATTTCAGCTGAACATTGTGCTGCAAAGTAAAGATGCAGCTACCAATATGCTGTATCCCGTGTAGTGTCACGTGGTCTCTATGCCAGCTGCTGAAAAATTGTGGGGAAAATAATAGCATGTATTTTCTGTATGCCTTTCCGTTTTATTATTAGGGACATTTGCACAAAAAGGAGCTTTATTGTCAAGAATTCCCATTCCCTTCATTTGATGTCATGTTTTACTTCTGGCATCAAGAATAACCCCAGAATAGGTATTACAAGAATCAAACAAGACATAAATTTTGATTTTATATGTATAGTTGCTTATAATGAGAGTTCTGTTTGTGGTATTTCATGAGGTATATTAAAGTATTTGTAGTTGATAAATATTATTTCCCTAATGCTTACTACTTTTTTATTCATAGGAGTTATGCTGCAGAGAAGCGGGCTGTTGTGGTTTGCTGTGTTGATAACCCTGTGGGTTTCCTCAAATGCTCAGGGTAAGTTTTCACACTTCTAAACTAGATATAAAGTAGGTCCCAAAGCTAGAAGTTGGTGAAAAACATTGACTTACTTGACCTAGAGTGGACAAAGTAATCATATATGATTTTTTTAGAAGTGTGTGGAATAGTGGTTGCTGGGTTGTTTTTGCGTTTTTTTTGGCAGATACATCTTGCTACTGTTAAATGAAGACTCTGCAATAAATATCGAAAAATTGTTTTCTTTAGAAATTATTGATCAAAATGTATATAATCTCAGAAATAATTGCTACTATACTTTCCTCTGCAGAGAAATGTATGGTGAAAGTAACATAATCAGAATCATTGAGTGGGGTGAACATTTTAAAAAGGCAGAGGTAGAGAAGTAGACCTCTACAGACCAAATATAAGGATGCAAATTGGCACAGTGCCAGGCCCTCATTTACATCTGACTTCTTGGCTTGACTCTTTAAAAAGCAAATCTCTTGCTTCCAGTTGTCATGTGGCCACATGGCTTCCCATGATCTGATTTTTACTAGCTGGCAGTCAAAATATAGAAATTGGTTCAACTTGCTTGTCCATTCATATGTATTACAAATATTTAATGATTACATTGCTACATGCATCTGTGCATGTAGGTATATACATGAACGCACAGCATATATGTATATACATATATACAAGTGTGTATTATATAGTACTATAAAATATATAGCTGTATGTTTAGTTATATAATAAAACATATTTGTACCTACACACAGAGACGGCGAGAGTTATCATGTCAATGAAAATGATGGGTGGAAAATATGATTCACTTGCATGCTGGTAGTAATGGTTCTGCCTGTGGAAGTAGGCAAGTACCTGGGTTTAGTCTGTTGATCTTCGCATGTCTCATGTAATTGCAGTTACTAAGTAATAGTGTGCAGAGTTGTGTTTCTTGTAACACTTTTTGTAGACACATTGTCACACACTGTTAACTTTTTCAGATGGTGACAAGGAAGAGGAGACTACCTTTGATTTACTTCAGATCAGTAACATAAACCGAAAGACAATTGGAGCAAAATTGTTTCGGGGTCCAGACCCCGCTATCCCAGCATATCGTTTCATTCGGTTTGACCATATACCTCCGTGTAAACCAGAGAAGTTAAAAAAGATTGTCAAACTCATACGGCAAAATGAGGGCTTTATCCTTTCAGCCACCCTGAGACAGGACAGGCAATCTAGAGGCACTATCCTTGCTTTAGAAGGTCCTGGCATCAGTGAGAGGCAGTTTGAGATCATTTCCAATGGCCGGGCCAACACCCTGGACCTTATCTATTGGGTGGATGGCTTCCAGAATGTGATTTCCCTGGAAGATGTGGACCTTGCCGACTCGCAGTGGAAGAACCTCACCATACAAGTAACAGGGGAGAACTACAACCTCTATGTTGGCTGTGACCTTATTGACAGCTTCATCCTGGAGGAGCCTTTCTATGAGCAGCTGAAAGCAGAGAACAGCAGAATGTATGTGGCGAAAGGGTCCATTCGGGAGAATCATTTCAGGGTAGGTAACCTGGAGGAGCTTGGGTCACTGGTGAGGTAAGGACATAGCTGCAACTAGTTTGAGAAGATGCAATAGGTGTAGTTTTGTTCTTCCAACACCTCTTGGATTTGGTGGGGTCATAGGTGTTTTCAAGCAGAATTTCTCCAGTGTGTTTTTATTCATTGCTGGATCCATGTTGTGTGAGTCTGGGGGATCCTGAAAACAAAGGACTGGGGAAGCAAAGTCTAAGGGCAGGAAAAGTGCTCAAAACCAGTTTGTGGGCTTTCCTGTGTAGCGATCCACTTTCTCTTCCAGATTTAAGACTTCTGAACATGTTGCATTTTTGTGGTGATTTGTAGAATTCTTTGGAAATTTCTTGAAGACCTATTTTTCTGTTGAAATATATCTGTTCAAGCCATAGGAACGTGTCAATATTTGTTAAATTTTATTTGAAAAAGAAAGATGGATGAAAGAGAGAATTTTTAATGGAGCTGAAGAATGTCATGTTGGCTCATCCCCTAACAGAGTATCTTGGTTTGCCATTTTGAATAAACTTTCACTTCTTCAATTTAAAAAAAAAAAAAAAAAGGAAAATTTGAAAAAAAACTCTAAATGTTTTGATCAGTCCTGTAAATGACTTTTTTTTTTTGTGGAAAAAATTTATTGTTTCTCTTTTGTTTAAAAATGAAGTAATTAGAAACTTTCTGGTTTTCCTATAAAATGAAAATTTCTTCCTACCTCATACAGCTGTATGATCTGGCCCAAGTGGTTTAAGCATGGCTTCTTTTCACTTGCAGCTGAAATCAAAGTTGAAGTCATGGCTTCAAAAATTTGAAAAACCCTTTCTTTCTCATCCTGTTGTGCCATCTAGTTGTCAGCCGGAGTGTGGCAAGTTGGAGTGCGCTTCCATAGGGTGACCAGTTTTGGCAGGAAAGCCAGAAGCTCTTGCCCACAGCCTCTCCATTCCGGCCTCCCTTCCTAGCCCACCAGTTGTGCTCATAAAGCGGGTTTTGGAGCTGTACTGTTAAGTGGGTCACTGAAGTAATCTGTTTTTAAAGTATTTTTTTTTATTTTCTGAGATTTCGTTTTTAAGAGTGAAACAGGTACTGCTCTGTTTTGATAGTGTTGTCTCAGGGTAGTGCCAGCACAACTGAGGAGACAGTGAGTGTGGTGCATGGGAATGACTGGCTAAGGATGGAAGTGTGATGGGCCAGGAACTTCAAAAGTTGGCTTTGACCTCATGAAGAATGTCTCATAGAAACAATCTAAAATACGCTCTATGGAAATGGAGATTTGAGCTCATTCATTACTGATTAATAACTGTTTTATTATGGCCTATTTCAGAACATACCTGATTTTGTTGCTTATGGTATTGAAATTGTATGTAACAAAACTATCAACAGAATTTTTTTTTCAGTGTGTGTCAGGTTGAAGGCCTTGTAGAATGTTTTTTACATATTTACTAAGTCCAGTCAGTAGTGTGGTTTTGAGACAGACCAATTATTGGTTAATCCTAAATTGATCTAACTGGTTTTTATTTTTTTTAATTATTATTGCAGGGTCTTTTGCAAAATATTCAGTTAATCTTTGATACTTCAATAGAGGATGTTCTGCGTAAGAAAGGATGCCAGAGGAGCCAGTCAAGTAAGGCTTTTTTTACCTCATTAATACTGTTCAGTTGACTCTGAAAACGACAAATGTCAATGGTGACATATCCTAAAGCCATGCAACAGATCCCACTGAAACGGTAGCGGAATCTTATTTAAACAGAATAAGAAAATACTGTTGCTTTTTGGTGGTAATAGGAATATATTTGATAGCAATATTGAGATACTATTTCTCTAGGCTACTATTTTAATTCTTATTGCTTAGGTTTATAAATCTGAGCCTCTGTTTTTAAGTTGGGAGAAAAGCTGTCAAGCAAGAAATTACTAGAAATAGAAGGAAAAATGCATATGTATGAAAATATCTACATTCTTCTATGAGTTGTCCATGATTCTTTGAGCACGAGACTGGGACGTTGCTTCTGAATTCTGCTCCTGACTCTCAATGGGCCCATGAGCAAGTCTGCAAGTCTTAAAGACACTGAATTCCTTGGCAATACATTTGTTGACTGAAAGAGGCTTTGTGTTGGAATCCCAAAGCACTGTTAATCAAAACAACTTAAGGAAAATAAGAAAAAAAGAAGAGGTATGGAAGGCATGATGTGACAAGCTGCCATGTGTTCTTGTTAGTCCTATTCATGCTGACCTCACCAGGAGGGGAGCCCTCTGTGTGTGGGAGTATGTTGGATTAATCATGAAAGAGCTATGAAAATTTGTCAAGTATGCACTAAGGTTCTGTACTGCAGCTCATGGGAGGTGCTGGCTATTTTTTTCCCAGTGTTTGTAACTGGCAGGAGCTCAGTCAAGAATCAGAGACAGCTGATTCTACCAGAGGAGTGTGGTAGGTACACATGGCAGTCAGGGCATTGGGGTTTTATTTGAAACTCCTACCATCTGAAATGCCATTATTTCTGTCACTTCACCAAAACATATGACAGTTAAGCAAAATTTTTTCCTTGTTTATGCAAAACCCATAAATTAAGCAGCAGCAGGTCTTAACTTCTTCAAAGCAGGCCAGAGTATGGACATTTTCTAATAAAAACTATAAGATATATAAATGTGTGTGTGTATGTTTATATCTATATAGGGATGTGTGTATATGTACAAAAAAAATTAACTGAGCTTGCTAGTCTGTTTTTAAATCTTGATAAAGGATATTGATTGCTTATTTCATACGTTCCAGAGGTATGCCTTGCTGCAGGACATCAGACACAAGTGTGATGATGTGTTAGAAATGCATCTGGTGGGCTAGAATGGAAGTGGCCTTAGATGGCACAGGCAAGAAGATATGCCCTCATTTGTTGGTTGTCATCTATCCCAGCCAAGCTGTTTTCTGTACTCAGAAACTACTGAGAAAATACTCAGAACTACTTATTACTGGTTTTCAGCTTTGTTAGTGGAAGGAAATCCTTGAGGAGCAGAACTGCTATGGGAAAAGAGAATGTGTATTTAGGTCTAATTGTAGTCTGAATAAAAGAAGATCGTTTCAGGAAGGATGCAGTTTAGCTATCCTACTTCATTTACCAGTGGAAACAAAATTCCCAGAAGTTGAAGTAGAACCTTGAAGGCACATTCAGTGACCAGAGGCAGAACAGTCTCATTCAAGAGGATGAGGCCCTAGCTGTAGATAGGTTGAACCAGCAAAACCAAGAAGAG